TTTTTCTGTCATTCTGTTTCCTTGTTCTCACCTTAAAAAGTCCATGGTTCTGTCATTGCCTGCTGGGAGTTCTCACTGCATTTTAATTTTTAAAAAATTAAAAAGAAAGAACAAAAATGGGGGGCCCATGTGTGGTGTCTCACGTCTGTAATCCCAGCACTTTGGGAGGCTGAGACAGGAGGATTTCTTGAGTCCAGGAGTTCAAGACCAGCCTGAGCAACACAGAGAGAACTCGTCTCTAATAAATAAATAAATATAAATAATTAAAAAAAAAAAACTCTAGGTGTGATGTTTCAGACATGGCTGTGGGCATTTACAAGGCTGTACCCAACAGGCCTCACATGCTGCCTCCTAACACCAGTCTGGGCACAACCGGGACACTGCAGTGGAGGAAGCTGGGTCGAAGTCTCAGGCCCTTGGTTGGCCAAGCTGTCACACACATCTGCGTTCCTGGCTCTGGTCTCTCCATGCCCGGCTCTCTCTGCCCAAGGTCTTCTTCAGATGTCTTTGCCAAGGCCTCCTTATGGGAAGGGGAGGGTAGGAAGGGTGGAACCTTGAAGATGGTTTCCCTCGCTCTGAGTACTCAGTACATTTTCATTCTTAGTCCCTCCCCCAGTCCCCACCCTCCTCCCAGGTCCACACAAGCCTTTTTGTTCAGGACCTCCCGACAGTGAGATGGACCCCCTTGCACGGATCCATGGCATTCCATGGGGGAAACAGAAGAGGAACGGGCATCAGTGCTCCCTGCGGCGTTGACTTCATATTACAGCATCACAGTGGGTGGTTGAAGGCCTCACTCTTTCCCTTTTGTCTTGTTGCTACTGTGACTCCAACAGCTCAGCTGAGGTCTGACACCCACACATACCTAGCAGCAGCGAGACCACCATGGAGGCTGCAGGAGCTGGGGAGGAAGGTACCCCCACCAGAGGGGAGAGGCAAGGGCAGAACGCCCACCCTTGTAACTCTGGCCAAGCCCCAGGGAGTCTGCCCACCTCACGCAGCAGATGAAGGTCGCCAGCACAGCTGCCCTCCCCTCTGCGTGTAGCAGGCCCTTCGTTGTCCAGCCTCTCCCACGGTTCCCCTCCTTCCTCCCACCCTCAGCCCTTCTCTGGGGTCTCCTGCAGCTGGTTAGCAGGCTCAAGCTCCCTCCTTCCAGAAGAAACTTCCTCTCAATCCTGCCTTCCCCGAAGGGTGCCAGTGTCTCTCCCTTCCCTTGAGATGTCCAGGGTGCAAAGTTGGGAAACAGAATAACTTATTTCTAAACAATACGGTAGAGACATTTTCAAATCATCAGTTCATTATGGTTTCAGGTGACACACCTCCAAATTTAAAGCAATGGGGAGGACTGGGAATCTGAGAAAAGTACTAAATATGTTAGACTGTCCACAACATCAGGAAATGCAAGGAAAACATTGAGCCAATTATCTGAAACTAACCAGTTATTTGTAACTAACTTATTGTTCAGAAATGTTTGTTTCCTAACTTTGCAGATACCCCCCCAACACACACACAAACATAACACACACTTGAACTCATGCAAACTCAGCGCTGCTTCTCACGTCTTATCAGTTCCTCAGCCACTACATCCTGACCTCTGTGCCCATCGTGTCACTGATGCTGCAGTCTTGAAGACTTTATGACCCAGACTTCGAAGAGCAAAAACTCTTGGTTTACTTGGTTCGGACTCAGCATCACAGCCTTGAAAAGTAGAGCTGGACTGTGAGAGGTGAATCATGCCTGTGTCTCCCACCAGTTGGACAATCTTGGGCAGGGCCTCTCTGCCTCATTTCCTTGTCTGTGAAGAGGGGACAATGATAATGTCACACTCCGGGGAGGCTGCTGTGAGCTCTTGGGGAGTAAGGGCTGAAGGAGGACTTGCTGCCACGCCCACTCTCTCCTGCTCTCACCCTGCCTCCCCAGTGTCTCCTTCCCAGACTCAGTAGCTGGCTCTTCTCCCTCTGCCCAACCTTTAAAGCACAGAACTCAAAAACCGGAGGGGATGCAAAAAAAAAAAAAAAAAGCAGGGAAGGTTCAGGAACAACTTTTGATCAACTGGGGATGTTCAAATGACACCTTCCTGTTCTCTCTTCTGCTGATTCTTGTGTGGTACGTCTAGAATCCAGCCCAGGAGTCTGCATTTTAAACAGCCTTTCATGCTTGAGTTGGAAAACCCATCCTCCCCTTTTCCTTCTAGACTCTCTCCTGGTGAGGGTCCTTTGGCTTCACTCTGACATAGACGAGACCTGCACTGAGGGCGCCCTAACACCTGCATCGTGCTCATGTTGCTGGCAACGGAGCAGGAGCGTCAGACCAGGTACCAGCCACCTGTGCCCTCGGGACCCAGCACAGAGCAGGTGCCAAGCAAAACTCGACGAAAGTTTGCATAAAGTCAGGGTGAGATGCAGCACTATAAAGATCCAGGCATCTGGAAATCCTCAGGCATGAGTCACCTAGACAGCTGTGTTTCCCTAAAGACAAGAATGTGAAGAAAACTTGGGGAGAGGCAGCCCTGTCCCAAGAATCCCAAATTTTTTGTTTAAACTATTTGGTTTCTGAAATTCCGTATGTACATCTGTTACGTATGTACTCATGAAGCAGAGTATATAGAACAGTTTAACCTTTTCTTCATGAACAGGTCATCATGATGAACATCACGTCACCATGTGTAGTGTCCTGTGTGGGGACTGGGGCCACTGCAATATCTGGCACGTGGAGATCGTACAGGCCAGGTCTGCTTCTTAAGGACCATCTCTCTCTTGCCCTAATGTATTTATGCTGCCAACAGACTTTCTTCCTTTCTGTTTCTAATATGTTGTAAGTTTGCATACCAAATAAACATGTGAGGAATGTGATCGGATTAAATAGGATCTGCTGGGAGATCCTGAGTCTCTCCTGTGGGCAGAGAATGTGAATTTTGGTTGTGCCCTTTGCAATATCATTCAGCATGGGCATCTCCTTTGTTCTCAGTCTATTTGTTCTCAATCATGGACAAGAAGGCTGCTGGATGGCAGGGTCCAGCTAGGGTCTGGTAGTGGGATTTACCAAATGATCTATCCACCTACATCAACCCATGCACACATGCATACAACCAATTATTTAAAATCAAACTTCTATTGACACCATCTCTCTATGGAGTGGAAGGCTACCGATAACTTCAAATAGTGATCAATCATCTCCCCCTGGTGGCGGAAGAGTGTATAGGAAACCCAAACCCAAACCCAAAATGCTCTTCAGAAAATCCATGGGTGTGGTCAGTGGTTTAGTCCAATTCTTAGGTCATCTTCTATCAAATTTTCCAAGATGGCCAGATGTTCCACAGATCCTAAAGCTTAGCTTTAAATCCCAAAGCCTAGAATAGCACCTGTGTTTAGAACAAACATGAGTATCTACTGGCCAGGCATACTTGATTCTCCAGGAAAAGCCAACAGTTCCCCTGTCTTGGACTTAAGAGGCACAAGGGTGGGTGAGACGAGGGAGGAAATGGGGCCAAGGTAGTGGGTTTGATGCCAGTCGTGAGAGGAGCAGGCGATTCCCTAGTCCTGCAGAAGGGGAAGTAAGCAGGAGCATGGACCAGGGTGGATGGGGTCAGTTTGGGGCTCCATCTGATTAGGTCATGGAAGTGTGGGGGCCAGTTCACAGAAATCCAACAGGTCATCCATTCATGCTCCAACAAGGCCCCAGGCCACATCAAGGATAGGGAGAATGGGATCTTCAGGGTTCCCAAGGAAAGACTGGAGTGGTCTCCTTCGTGGGGACTGTGGTACAGGTTTACGTGAAAATCCTCTTTGACTATTGTGAAATCTGTGGTTTGTAAGGCCAGGTTATGCTCTGTACTTAGAACTTGTGTGTAAATTCTTTCCTGCTTCCTAAATTGTGATGAAAAGTATCCAGTAACCATAGGAAAAAGTAAAGAAAGATGCAATATCCCCTGACTCCTCACGCTGAAAATGCAAAGTTCCACCAAACTGTGCCATATTGGGGTAGCCATCTGTTAATATACTATATACTCCTGCAAATTTTCTATGCAACCGTCAGCAAAGAGGCCAAACACTCCACCATATTTACAGTTCTTTTTGCTGCTTCCTCATTCCCCATCCACTGCAGTATCTCGAGAGAAATGAGAAACATGAACTTTCAAATAGAGATCTCCATGTGTTTGGTGCTGAGTGAAAAACCGTCCCATTCCCACTGCTGTCAATTTGAAGTCTTCTATGGGTGTCCTGCCCTTCATCTCTTATCATCAGCAAATCCCAGCTAACAAACTGGTAGAAGGCACAACACACCCTGAGGCTCTACTAGTTCTTTCAAGGGAGGACTCCATGAAGTGCATTCTTCCTGGTCTCAGAGCGCATCATGGCGGAGGCTCTCACCCTGTGGCTACTCCCTACAAGGATCCTCATGGAGCCAGGTACAGTGGCTCATGCCTGTAATCCCAGCACTTAGAGGTGGAGGCGGGTAGATTGCCTGAGCCCATAGGTTAAAGACCAGCCTGGGCAACATAACAAGACCTGTCTCTACAATAAATTTTTAAAAATTAGCCAGGTGTGGTGGTGCACATCTGTAGTTCCATCTACTTGGAAGGCAGAGGTGAAAGGATCGTCTGAGCCCAGCAGGACGAGGCTGTGGTGGCTGTGAGTGTGCAGTGCTACTGCACTCCAGCCTGGGTGAGTACACAGCCTTCCTCCACCTTCATGATGAAAACATACCTGCAGGGGGAAAGAGGAGAACAGGAGGGTACAGGAAGGCAGATTATTAGCATCCAGAGGGGTCAGGGAGGGGGAGCTGGTGAGGGCTTCCAGGGCCTGAGATTCCATCCCCACAGCAGATGCTGCTTCTCCTGGGGCCCACTCCTGCAGAAACGCACCAGTCACCTGAAACCCCCAGCTAGAAACACAAGGGAGGTGTGGGCTTGCAAAACTCCCTCCTCTTACAACACGGAGAGAGGGGGGTTAGATAAACACACACTTTGAATTATTCCAAAGACTAAGACACTCTTCTTTTACAAAGGTATTTTATTTGAGTAAACAAAATACTGTATTTTTTAAAAAGCATATAAAAAGTCACATTATTTTAAGTTAAAAGTATAGGTTGGGAGTTTATCCTCTGACATGTCATCCAATAATTAAGTCCTTCTTCCCTTCTCAGCTGCCATCCATTCAAGCTGACATTTACATTGCAAAATCTAGAAAGGAAAACCAAAGGGATAAGCAGGGAATGTTTTACAAGATTGTAGCTAATGTTTTACTTTCTCAGCATTCACACTTACTTTAACCATTTAGATTTAGCAGAAACCAATGAAATTTACTAATGAATATATTTTTAGCATCACAATTTCCCTCCCATCTGAAGCCCCTTTTGTTTGAAGCAAGGTTCCAGTCTTTGCAAGTTCAGCCCTGGAAGCCATCCAGCCCTGATTTAACTGGCAGGTCACTGGTGATGACTGTGGGAGGGAAGAAGCCTTTGTAATCTCAAACCTAATCTTTTCTTCCTCTTCTCAGTTTAACACACAAAAGGACTGTCAGGAACACAAATCTAATAGACAGTATTAATTTAAACTGCCTTCCCCCACCCTCTTTATTTTTTCTTTCCCCCTTCCTACTACCTACTCCTGAGTTTCAGTCAATAAAACATCTTTAAAGAAAAAAAAAAGGAGTTCCCATAACAGCAACTTCTGTGAGGCAAAAGCCTACAGGGCACTGAGGAGCAGCAAGCAGTGGGCAGAAGTTGGAAAGGGAGAGTAACAGGGAAGTGCTCCCACAGGCTCACTTGCCTGCATCGGGGAAGTCAGTGCAGCTCAGGCTGGGCAGCTGAGTGCAGCTGACCCGGGTTCAGCTTCCGGTACTGCTCTTCACCATGTGAGCCGTTCTTTCAGTCTGAACGTACCTCAAAGTTGTCAGAACGTACCTCAAAGTTGTCAGAACTGAGTAATAGTTGTACATGAAATGCTTATCAAAATGCCAAGCACAGAAAGATCACTCAATACGTGTTGCTACTATTCCTCATAAGTAAGCCTGAACCTTGGCAAAAAAGTTCCATAAGGGAATTCCAATTTACAGTAGCATGGAATCTTGGCGTGGGCTGGAGTTTTGGAGGTTACCTAGCCCAGCGGTTTTTATAGTGATCTGCTGCTGAGGCCCACATAATGTGGGAAATATCTGTGTCGATCTAATAACTCAACACAGAAACTCGGAGAGCAGTGAAGATTTAATAGAAATCTTGCAAGACAGGTGTCTGGTAGCAGGAACACCAGAGAGGGTTACAACAGGCATATTTATGTCCTAGTGCACAAGTTTCTCCCCTGGTTCTCCATTGGCTGGGTACCATAGAGGTTACAATCTCTCCAGGACATCGCCTGGGCAATTCTCATTCAAATAAGGCAAAGTACATGTTTCCAGGCTTCTGATTGGATTTCAATATTTACTAAAGGAAGCCCACCATTTTTCAAATACAGCTTGCCAAAGGGAGCCCGCCGTTTCTTAAACAGTCTGCCAAAGGAAGAACCATCAGGAAATGGAGTGGGAATCGCCATTTTGAACAGATAATTGATCTCCATCTACAATTGTGTAACCATTATGTCTTTTACTTTCAACTACTTTAGAAGACCCATGTATGAATAATCTACTTTCCTCATAGAGTGGCTGTTCCCCTAAATCAAGACTGGCTTTGGTTTGGTATTCAATAATATCTAGGCAACTATGATTTGGTTCCTCTTAGTTTTATTTCCAGCACTTAAGAAAGTTGCTGGATTAAGATAGAAATCTATACTTAATATCAGGTCATCTCTTTCTAATAGTGTTGCTTCATATTTTAAGATTCAGGAATCAGTTAACCAGCACCCAGTTCTCTAACTTAAAATTGTTCAGACTTAATGAGGAATGCTGACCATGAGAGTTCCTTTGAAAGTTAACTTCCAACTTTCCTCCACTAGCAGAGCTATGGCTACAATAGCCTGGACACATTCTGGCCAGCCCCTAGGTACAAGGACTAAGAATTTAGATTTGAAGGCCACTGGTTGCTTCTTTTCACCACAGCTTTGGATAAGTGCCCCAAAGGCTGCACTTTGATCTACTGTTACAAACAGATAGAAAGGCTTTTCTAAGGATGGCAGATCAAGGACAGGACCATGATTAAATCCTGTTTTAATTTTTCGAAAACTTGTATTTCATTTTCAGTGCATTGAAGGAAATTCGGTGTTTCCTCCACTAATTTTGAATAGAATTGTTTAGTTGCATATGAATCAATCCATAGTCTACAATAACCTAGTAGGCCTAGGAATTTTCTTAATTTCCATTTTGTTTTTGGTGTGGGATGGTTAATTATTCCAGTTATTCTTTCAGGGCTAATTTTTCATTTACTTTCACTAATTAGATGTCCCAGGTATTTTACTTCTTTTTCTAAAAACTGTAGTTTATTTTTGGAGAGACTTAATCCTTGATGTCCTAAGAAATTAAACAAATTTATGGCAGTTTCAGAAACTTGAGTTTCGTCTTTGCCTGAAATTAAGAGATTATCTACATGTTGTAGGAGTTGAGTATCAGGCAAGAGTAGAAACTTCTCTAATATAGTTTCTAAAATCTGGCTGAATAAGTTGGGAGAGTCAGTAAAGACCTGTGGTAGCAAAGTCCAGTGGTACTGTTGTTTTCTACCATTTATAGGATTTTCCCATTCAAAGGCAAAGAGGTCTCTACTCTCCAGATCTAGGAGGCAGGCCCAAAAAGTATCTTTTAGGTCCACCATGCTAAACCATTTATATTCATAGGGGATTTTACTAAGAAGAGTACAAGGATTTGGAACCACAGGATGTCAGGTCTGCATTATTTGATTTATTGTTCGCAGATCCTGTACTAATTGGTACGTTTCATCAGGTTTCTTTACTGGAAGTATTGGGGTGCTATATGGCGACATACAGAGTTTCAATAGCCCATCTTTGATAAGGCTCTCCATTATTGGTTGGAGACCTCTTTTTCCTTCTATTGGGATAGGATATTGTTTTCTACAGGTAATTTCAGTTGGTTGTTTTAAAGAAATTTTAACTGGGAAACTTTAGCGCCCCTCCCCCTTTTCCTTCTTTGACTCATACTTCAGGATTAATCCTATTTTCTTCTTCTTCTGTGAGATATGCCATTTGGATTTTAATTTGATCCTGTTCTACTCCCATGTTGAGACCCAGCTGAACAATTAAGTCTATACTCAGGATTTATTCCTGCTTCTGGAACAAACAAGAATGAACCTTTTGTAGTTCCAGCTTCAGTCTTAATGGTTGTTGGTTCAAATATGGTAACCTGGAATTCCTTTCCTTTCACTCCTAAAACTAAAATCTTTTCTGGTAAAAATTTAACACTTTTGGGTTGGAAGATTAGAGAAGAGCAGGCTGCCCCTGTATCAACTAAGAAGACTTTATCTTCTTCTTTAGGTCCCACCTTTAACTTTATCAAGGGTTCCTGGTAGGGTCTGACAAAGGGGAACCCCTGACTTTTCTATTCTCCATCTAATGCCATTCCTCCTCTTTCTTCCATAAAGGACAATCCCTTTGAGATGTCCCAGTTTCCCACATTTGTAACATTTCCTTTCTCCTTCTTAGGGCCCTTGCCCCCGAGTTTGCCCTTTCTGGTTTACCATCTTTGTTCAGGGTGAACCTCGGGGTGGAACCACACTTCTTCTTTCAACTACTCTCTCTACTATGGTTACCATAATTTTTGACATTTTTTTTTTTTTTGAGTTGGAGTCTCACTCTGTCACCCAGACTGGAGTGCAGTGGCCACTCTCTTTCCTCCAAAGACTCAGATGTTTTCTCTCTCTCACCTCCTGATCAAAGGGGAAACATAAGAAAGGCTCCAGGAAGCCAACAGAGGGCATAATCCCTCTCTTCTGATAAAACAGAAGGTTTATTATTTACATATAGAACCAAAGTTTGACACAGCCAATCCTCATCACAGTTGAATTACGGCCAGAACACTGAGGGTTGGCAGATTGATTCCTTGGTCTATATAAAACAACAGAATTTAATCATTTTATTTTATTTTATTTTTTCTTTTCTTAGTTCTTAGTCATCCTTCCAATCTCTTAACATTCACTCCAGTGGACTATCTGGGGGAATTTTGGTAGAGTTGCCCTAACTTCCTCCTTCCTAGGCCTAGAATTTTTATTTCCCATTTGCAGTTACCAGGCAAATGATCTGATTCCTGATTCAAGGCTCCTAATGTGCTCAACCCTGCTACTACCCCTGTATTGGAGGTTTCTTGCATACATTAGGACTTGCTTCATTTGTCTCCAGTCATTTCCCTTGAAGGACAATGGAACCACAGATTGGGATTACACATTTACTTTGTATCTAGGATATGTCTCAGTCACACACACTCAACCTCCAAGAATCTCCCAACCCCCAAGGCAGTACTTATAGACCCAATTTTCCTATGTTGACTTGTGCACGAGGTTACCAGGTTTCTGCAGATTGGTGCCTGCCTTTTTGAGCATCTCATTCACTGACTCCTAACTAACAAGTCTCAGGTTTACCTGCCGAGTTGTGGGGACCTGGGACACCCAGATGGAGTAAGCCACCGAAAACCTGGTGGGACGTGTCTCCTACTCCAATAGAGACCTGATCCTGCTGGACCTGATCCTGCAGTTGTAGAAATCCTGGATGAGCCCTAATATTGTGGGAAATACCCATGTCCATCGAATAACTCTACACAGAAATTCAGAAAGCAGCAAAGTGAAGCTTTAATAGAAAACTTGCAAGACCGAGTGTCTGGTAGCAGGCACACCCGAGAGGGTTACAACAGGTATACTTATGTCCTAGTGCACAAGTCCTTCCCCTGGTTCCCCATTGGCTGGGTACCACAGAAATTACAATCTTTCCCGGAATTCACCTAGGTAATTCTTGTTCAAATAAGGCAAAGTACATGTTTCCAAGTTTCTGATTGGATTTCAATATTTACTAAAGGAAGCCTACCATTTTTCAAATACAGCCTGCCAAAGAGAACCTGCCATTTCTTAAATAAAGCCCACCAAAGGAAGTTCAGACTTTCTTAAACAAAGTCCACCAAAGGAAGAAGAATCAAGAAATGGAGTGGGAACTGCCATTTTGAAAATGAATCATCATTTTGTTCTTTATAATAAGAATCACCGAATCAGTTTCCTAAAGAAAAGATGTCTAGACCCAGCCACAGATAGAGTGGAATCTGTCTGAAGCTGGAGCCTGCAAGTCTGCATTTTAACAAGCACCCCAGGCAATTCTGATCATTAGCCAGGTTTGGGAACTACTGATCTAGAATCCCCTGCCACCATATTTGAAGCCTCTTATTTTTAAAGAAACATAGAACTCAACATAACAAATTGGATCAACACACCAAAATCAAGGAAACTCCCAACAGTCATGTGTTAAATCTGTAAAAGAAACTTAATAATAACTTCTTGCCTTGACATATCTGGCCCACAGCAGTCATTAAATTCTCAGAGTCCTGAGGCCCAAATATGTGTTAAGAACCACTGCAAAGCCAGGCCCGGTGGGTCACACCTGTAATCCCAGCACTTTGGGATGCTGAGGAGAAGGACTGTCTAAGTCCAGGGGTTCGAGACCAGCCTGGGCAACTTGGAGAGACCTTGTCTCTACAATAAATTAAAAAATTAGCTGGGCATGGTGGCACGCACCTGTGGTTTCAGTAACTTGGAAAGCTAAGGTGAAAGGATCGCCTGAGTCAAGCAGGTCAAGGCTGCAGTGTCCTTGAGTGCACCACTGCACTCCAGCCTGAGAGACAGAGTGAGACTCCATTGGAAAAAAAAGAACCACTGCAGGTTTGGAGCAGGGTGAACTAATGCTGAGCACCTTGGCTAAGCAGCAGACAGGGCCTAGGATCAGGATCTGCATACCTGGCCCTGAGACAGACCAGTTCTCCCCCAGAAGACCTCTGGGGATACATGCCCTCACACAGTCCGTCAGACTGGAGGGATGTGGAATTCTCAGATCTATCACATCTGATTGGTCTCCCCTAACCTGCTGGATGCTTTCCATTTGCAAAGTCTAATTACCTCTGATTTCCCTTTACTTGTCTTTCTTCTCTGATTGCCTCTTCTTCTCAGCCTCCAGTTCTTGCTGTTTAGCTTCCAGCCTTTTCCTTTGGTATATTTTCACTCCAGCAAATGCTAGGCAAAGAATCAATGTTTTCGCTGCCAAGATATACAGGAGTAGGGGCACGTGTTCGAGAACCTTCAAGAAGAAAGAAGCCATTCTGAATGTCCTATCATTGATGCAGGTGTTTCTTTTATGTTTCTTCACCCAACAAATATTTCCTGAGAAACTGTTCCACAAGGGGTATGAAGCTAGAGACTGGTGCTATACTGGAGACCAAGCGAACAAAGTCCCTGTCCCCACGTGGCAGTGTAGTTATACTCTGCTCTCCATCACTGACTTGGTACTGGCTTCCCAGAGTGGGCCACCCATCAACTGCAGGCTTGGTAACTCTGGTCCCTCACAACTCAGCTGTGCAATCTGCTGACCACACAGGTCCCTGCTTCTGAGGCAGGAATGAGATCTAGTGAAAGGAGCTGGAGTCAGGAGGCCTGGGTCACAGCTATGCTCTGCCACTGACTGACTGTGTGACCTGGATCAGTCACTGGGCCTTTCTGAGCTCCTGCCTCTTCATCTGCAAAGTAAAACTGGACCAGATCTTTTTCTGGACCCTCTAGCTTTAGTACATAATTTCCTCGTTTCCAGCAACTCATTAGCATGGACACGTGAAGTTAAAATAAAATACAATAAAACTGAAAACATCAAAACCGAGCTATTTATTAACTGGCTTCTGTAAACCCGTTGACTAAAATGAAGCCCAGGATAACTATGGATTTGAAATACTCACTCTTTGCAGTAGTAGGTTTTATTATGAAATTCTATGTATCACAAGAGTATCTTAAAGCAAATACTACACTAGTTTCATAGACATGACTAGCATGATCTGAATGAATTATGAGTGTTTTGTGTGATTTAAAAATTCCTTCCCAAATAAAATGAAAAGGTAGCGTTTGTTGAGTAATTGTTATTTTGGAGGACAGGGTAAGATTATCCCAATGAAATCATTAGGTTAAACTTCCAAACATCATTTATTACATGTAATGCCAATAAAATGAGATTTTACTATGGGAAGTACATTTGAACTCTCTCCAACAGTTTAACTAAAGGTGACCGAAACTAGTTAATGAGAACAATATGCTCACAGAACCAGAGGGCTGGAAAGGGCTTTCGAGATGACCTAGTCTACCACCTTGTTTTATAAGCGAGGAGAGCAGAGCCCCTGAAGGGTGAGCGGTCTACCCATGGTCCACAGCTCACTCATGAGGATGTCGGAACTGGAACAGAACATTCGAATCCCCGGGCAGTCCCTTCCACTGATTCCTTATTTTAATGAAATGAAATTAACGAAATTATATCTATGTATACATACATTCCTATCATTTTATTTAAGTCCTTTATGACTCAGACCTAGGTGTGGATCTCACGTTTAGAAGATGTAGCATCAGCTGCCACAGACTGGGAACTTTCTGGCGCTAGATGCCTGACACAGCTCTTTCCCTTCCATCCCCAGCTCCTTCCTCAAGGCAGAGAGACGGCCCTCACTGTACAGTCGAGAAAAGGCAAAACACAGGGAGGTTAGCAGCAAGCAAGGCCAGGTCTGACCCAGGTCCGCCTGCTCCAAGGCCTGATGTTTCAACATCCCACTACCCTGTCATATATATGATGTGCTTCCCACTCCCACCAACTTTGCAATTAAATTATGCAAATCAGCAATGCCTGGCTACCAAATGCACCACAGGCACCTGGACTCATTACCTCTGAAATAATTTAACTGGTCACATTTGGATATTTGTGGAATGTTGTGATAAGACACAAATATAATGGATATCATGGGAGAAGGGGAAATGCAAATATTAAATGGTTTTAATTTAACGAAAATAAGAACACAAGAATACTCGGTAACTAGACAATAGTTTTCAACCACAAAATCATTTTCACAGTAAAGAATAAACATAACATAATACACTTCAGGCACTCTGACACAGTATAAAAGACTAAAAAAGTTATGAAAGTGAAACTTTTAAACTTTTTATCCTGGTAAGTGTAAGCAGCTTAGAATACTGATTTGGTTAAACCTCACCCCTCTGTCTGCCAATAATCCTCAAATTCCTCTGCTTCCTTGAAGGTTCACATTCCAGAGGTGAAAGTCTGACTCCATGTATACAAAGCACCTATGAAAAGGATGTTTAACATTGTTGTATAACCCTCTCTTTATATTATTAGGATTTTCTAGGCTAACCAATAGACTGACTGACTCATGCTAAGAAAAGTTGCTCTTCCAATTTTCTACATCTCCCTGGATCAGCCAATGGAGTTCTATTATGGTCCTCTGTGATCTAAACACAAAGCAGCTTTAGCAGCTGCAGGAATGTACTGTCCCCATCAGAAGTTAAAAACCCACTGAAATGGAAGCACATTGGTCAATGGACACAGGTGCATGGCTTCATTATTTACCTTCCTTTTATTTATTTATTTTTTGAGTTGGAGTCTCACTCCGTTGCCCAGACTGGAGTGCAGTAGCACATTCACGGCCACTGCAGGCTCGACCTGCTGGGCTCAGCAATCCTTCCACCTCAGCCTTCCAAGTAGCTGGAACTACAGGCATGCACCAACACACCCAGCTAATTTTTTGATTTTTTAATTTAATTTAATTTAATTTTATTATAAAGATATGGGGTACAATTCAGGGTTAGGTATACAAACGTTGATTATGCAGGTACCCTTGTTGATGAGGTATGCCCCTCCCTCCTTTAGCAGTTCCCCTCAACTGCCAATCCCACATCCTCCCTCCCCCGACAGTTTCTCACTACTGTCAATCCCTTTCTTATAGTATTAAAATTGGTCAAGGTCTGCTTATGAGTTAGAACATATGGTACTCTGTTCTTTGTTTCTGTGATGGATCACTGAGTATGATCGACTCCAAATCCATCCAAGTTGCTGCTAATTTTTTGATTTATTGTAGAAATGAGGTCTCACCAAGTTGTCCAGTCTGGTCTCTAACCCATGGGCTCAAGCAATCCTCTCACCCCGGCCTCCCAAAATGTTGGGATTATAGGCGTGAGCCATCGTGCCCAGTTTTATTTACCTTCTTTTTAAAGGCAGTGGGGCAGCAGGGGTAAGAGGCCAAAGTTTGGAACTGAAAAGGAGGCAGAGCAAGGGTGGCAGAGGTCAAGGCCACTAAACAGGCTAAAGTGAAGGGCTTCAGGACACCCTTCCTGACCTTCTCTAGGGCACTAAGACTCAGTTATGCTAAATCCCTTCCTCTAGCTAGGTGTGGTGGCTCACGCCTGTAATCCCAGCACTTTGGGAGGCAGGTGGAGGCAAGAGGATCACCTAAGCCCAGGGGTTCGAGACCAGCCTGGGCAACTTGGCGAGACCTTATCACTACAATAAATTTTTAAAATTAGCTGGGCATGGTGGCATGTGCCTGTAGTGCCAGCTACTTAGAAGGCTGAGGTGGAAGGATCACCTGAGCCCAGTAGGTCAAGGCTGGGGTGGCTGAGAATGTGCCACTGCACTCTAACCTGGGTGACAGGATGAGACTCTAACTCAAAAATAATAATTAATAAATAAATAAAATTTTAAATCCCTTCCTTCTGATTTCCGTCTGACAAACCCCACCTATCTCTTGAAACACACAGACCTTCTAGGAAGAAAACTAATGTTGCTGGAGTGGACTAGACCTATAGTAATTATTGCCAATATCTGTGAAATGGTAATAAGTAACTTTTTCAATACTGAGGCCACACTCATTGCTAATCACAGGTAGTGTTGACTGATGCTGCTAGCCATGGCCCACTAAGCCAGAAGGGGAAGGGCACAGGCCACACGGGGGCTACATAATCCCTTCAAACTCCTGCAGTTCTCTGCAATCAGATATAAAGAGGGACCATTCCTTTCTGACACTAAATGGAAGGGCCCATGTTTAAATATAATCTGCTTCCTGGAAGCCATGGTGCTATGGCTGCCTGAAGCTGGGAAGGCATAGGCAGATTTTGTTCCCAATGAAGGAAAGGACTGTCACAAACAGGACTGGCCTGGGTGGTCAAGTGGGTTGACAAACCCCACAATTAAACAGACAAACTTTTCTATGTATAGGTGCTGCAGCATCACTTGGGAATTTGTGAGAAATGCAAATTCTCAGGCTCTACCCCATATCTACTCAGTCAGAAACTGGGACTGGGGCCTGCAATCCTTACCTTCACTAGTCCTCAAGGTGACTGTGATACACTTGCGCTGAGAGAACCACCGCATTGGAGTATAAAATACAACCTTTGAACCTTGTTGACACAGACTTTAGTGCCAGTTACTGCACCTCGCCTCTACCAACTTAGCCACTGAAGTGGTTAAAAGCTCCCCCTAAACTTCACCCCACTGCTTTCTGCTCCTTCCCCCTCCTACCTTCTCATTGCTTCTTTCCTTTCCAGCCTTTTCACTGTGAGCTCTGACCTCACAAGGCATGCTAAACAAACTCTCCTAACGTCTTCAACCCTTTTACAGAACACTCACTCTGCGTCCTTAAACCAGATTTTCCTGGAGAAGAGAGGCTCTCAGCCCTCCTGCAGGGCCCCCTAAGCCCCGTGGGGAGCTACTCTCCTAGCTCCCTAATCCTGCTTCCAGACTTTTCCAGTTCCTCTTTGCAATAGAAAACCACTGAATGTTTTGAAAAAGAAAATGCTTTAATAATTAAAAAAAATAGATACAATAAGATCCTACATTTGAAAATACACACACCACACTTACATATATAGAAGAAATTACACCACAATTGTTCACTCTGGCGAGATGGTGAAAAGATATAGAAATTGTATTTGATTTTATGCTTTTCAAAATGGCTACAATAAACATATATTTCAGTGGCTGCTCTCTTAACCAACCCCCACCTCACCTTACTAGCGTTAGGGATTTTAACAGTAACACTCGCTTTTCTCTCTGTAAACCTGCTGACTGTTGCCCACAGCCCAATGAATGCTTGCAGCTAGCAGGCTACTTTCTGGTTGCCCTTGAACTTCTGCTACCACCAGCTGAAATCTAATGTCTCACAGGGATCAGCTGTGTTTACTCACCAACCAGCTTATTTAAGTTGTACTTGATACTTTATTAGATAAGCTATTTTAACGTTATACTTATGAAATACAGTCGTGTAAAGAAAAAGTTGTTTCCATAAATACTAGGTTGAATGCTTTGAGACTCAACTTTGCATTGTAAAAAATAAAAAAGATGTTGGCAAGACAACTATAAAAGATTAGGGAAGAACATCAAAATCTGGAAAGACTGTATATGCAGACTGCTTCATAAGATCTTAATCCACCATCTTAGTCAATTCAGGCTGCTAGAACAAAGTGCCACAGGCCGGTGACTTAGAAACAACACACCTTTATTTGTCAAGCTGAAAGTCTGAGATTGGGGTACAACATGGTTGGGCTCCAGTCAGGACCCTCTTCCAGGCTGCAACTGTTGACTTCTTATTGTAACCTCACATGGCAAAAAGAGGGTGACAGAGCTCCCTGGAGTCCCCTTTACAAGGGCACTAATCCATTTATGAGGACTCCAGCTTTATGACCTAATGACCTGCCACAGGCTCTATCCACCTCCAAATACCATCATACTGGCATTAGGGTTACAACATATTGAATTTGAAGGGGGACACAAACAGTAAATCCACTGCATCTTCTTTAAAGAAACCAAAATGTGAAATTGTAGGAAAAGCTTTAAAGGTATAGTTTTTGCAAGAAAAATGAGGCAGCTCTGAAATTAGTAGATGCACACTCAAAGAGAAGGCCTGGCCTTCTTCCAGAAATCTGGTGAATAAATATACACTTACATGTTCTAATTTAAAATGAAACATTAAATATTATTATGCTTTCATCTTTTTTTTTAAATCAATCTTCTACAGAACTGTTATTCTGAATTTTTATAATTAAGAGGAATGAAAAAAGCCAAACCACAAATGTTTATAAATATTCTCACCTTCCAGTTCATGGTAGATCAACTGGAATTCACTCCTGATTAGCATAGGCTCCCCCAAGACAAGTACATGAGGAGTTGGAGCTAGAAGGTCAGGTTCAGGAAGCCTGAAGATCTGATCTGGGTGGGAAGAAAAGAAACAGGTTGGTGTGGGGTTTCGAGGCAGACCACCTCAGGAAGACATCTCTTTGATGGATAGAAGACAAGCTCTCAGAGAGGCAGATTGTGTCCTGACAAGGTAACCTAGAGTTGGTGGGAAGCAGATAAGGACTGAGACAGGCCTAATTCTTGTCGGCAGAAAGCTCTTCTTACAGCTCTCTGTAGCCTCCAGTAGAGGTGACAGTGACACCCCTGAGGAAATGTGCTCCCATTCCATTCATCTCTGGACCTAAAAGCCCACATCTAAAACATGTCTCTCTACCTACCACCTGTGCTGAACACAAGTCAGTTTATAGATGAGTATCTCCCTGCTTTTCAGTTTCTCTGAGTGTTAATCTTGTTTTTTAAAGGATTACTTGGGTGCAAGAAAATAAGTGACAGGAAAGAAAAATGTCCTAGGAAAGCAATTCACACATAGAATTCCCTCTAAAGCATGAGGGAGACCTAGCAGAAGGTAAGGCAAGAAATGACAAGGCAGGGACATAGCTGGAGCACAGGATTTTTCCAGGGCCTTGTATGGTACTATTTTTAGAATATGACACATACCCCAAGAGACAGAAAACTTGTGCTCTGGATGAAGAATTTACACACTCTGGTAAGTGATTTCCCTCTTGGGACCTTGGTCCCATCTGTAAGTAAAGAAGCAAGTCAAGCAGATGGTGTCTAGGGTCCTACTTTTTCTGAAACTAGATAATTTATAGCATTATAATCCTAGCTTGGTTGGCCGCAGTGGCTCACACCTGTGGCTTCCAGCACTTTGGCAGGCAGAGGTGAGAAGATCGCCTGAGCCCAGGAGTTCAGGACCAGCCTGGGCAACTTGGCGAGACTTTTTCTCTACAAAAATAAAAAAATTAACCAGGCATAATAGCGCACACCTGTAGTTCCACTACTTGGAAGGCTGAAACAGAAGGATCCTGAGCCCTGCAAGTCAAGACTGCGGTAGCTGTGATTGTGCCACTGCACTCCAGCCTGGGCGACAGAGTACGATTCCAACTCAAATAATAATCATCATCATCATCATCATCCTATCGTAACTTTACTGTACTAGGCCATGCTAAAGTGCTTAGAAGAATTAACTCATTTAGTTCTCATGACTGTCCTACAAGGTAGTTTAGTGTCTCCACTTTATACAGGAAGAATCAAAGCTTAAGTAACACATCCCAGGTCTCACAGGTGGGACTGAGATTCACACCCATCCAGTCTGGCTCCAGAGACTTAAGCTCAGAACCATCATGATGCAGAGAGCTTTGCGTTCAAGATTCTCTTTAAGTGTACTTACAGTTAGAATTAAGAAAAGTGGTTTAAAAAAATCCACAGGCCTTTAGAATGGGGTAAGCCGAACTTCAATGAAGATATTTTAAAATCTTTCAATTACAAAAGCACCTAAATATTTTTATACTTCATACTTCATCTATTCAAGGTTACAGTATCCTGAAAGCAAACCAGAAATTGGCAGATAGTCAAGTTTTCCCCATGACTTTTTCAAAGTCAGATAAGCTAACGACAGGAATTCAAATTGTAGATCTGTTTAAATGTAATGATGGTGACTGACGGTACTCATTACCCTCATGTATCAATGGCCCACTTGTCGGTAAGGAGCAGCAGATTCTGACCTCCATAGAAGAAATATGTTCCTAACATGTTATATAACCTGTTGCTAGAATTTTACCTTGGAATATCTCTAATAATCTTATTAGCCATGTTGTATATTAAAATAAAATATTTAAGTTCTTGTGAATTTTATTTTTATAATTCCTTTTTTAATTGAGTTGTACACAAATATGAGTTTGGCTGTTCCCCACAAATTTTCTGAGTCCAAATTAGAGTCCAATGAATCGATGTACATAGGATATTGGTTGCAAGGTCAAGGATGACAAACAGATCCAAAAATCTTACAGGAGGAAATAAATGAAAAAGAACATCCTGGTCCTCTGGCAAACATGTGCTACGTTTACTAGCAGTGTGACCTTGGTCCAGCTACCTGGCCTCTCTAAGACTCAACTTTATCTCTAAATTCTCCTTCAGATTGAACTGTAACCCCCTAAGCAACATGCTCAGTACGTAGAAAGTACTAAATGAATGCTAACCATTAGTTATCATAAATCTCTCTTTTTCCACCAATGGACATGCCAAGCTGAAGGATAAAGACAAGTGGCATCCAACACAAAATGCAGTTATTCTAAAACAGCAGGACATGGAATAAAAAACATTAACCTGAGGACCAGGAGAACTGGAGATCTGGCACCAATGGCAGGGCATATGAACTGGGGCAAGTCATTAACCCTCTGAACCAAAGTATTCTCATTTTAAAAAATCAGAACCCAATTCTGCAACTCTGAAATCCACAACTCACCATCCTCTGATATTACAGAACCTGACTGTAAACATATACTGGCAGCTGCCTCAACATTATAGCTAGGAATGATAAAAAATCCAAGCTCTTTAGGAAAGAAACATATCTAAAGTCAATTTGCAATAGTAGTGGAAGGGTTGGGGTAAGGGTGGGAAACAAAAGGGCAAACTACTCTGATCAGCCCTGATCATTCCCATGCACTGCCTCTGATTTATAACTTTCCCCCCACCTCCCTTAAATTACATGCCCCAGGTCCACCATTTTAACAGTACCCTGCAGGTTTCTGCAAATGAGAACTAAGAAAACTAAAAATATCACTAAGCTATTTGCTCTGCTGACACATGTACACCTGATGCAATATTAGAAACAAGAGGCACCTGGGATCTGAGGGTTGGACTGTAAAAGCCAACAAGATGGGGACAATTTTAAGAAGCATAAAACCTATGAAGAACAGGTAATTTTAAACACCCCTTGGAACTATCCAGTCTTAGCTTAAAAACTCACAAATAATAAATGACTTAAGAAACAATTCCAAATCCTTCTACTTCCTTTACTACAAAAATATCCTGAGTTTTCCTTTGCCTGGTTTCTCCAGAAACAAAACAGCTATTCACTTACTCTCGTTAGGCCAATTAAAGCACCAAGGACAATGTATTGTCCACAGTCTACGTTTTCTTTTTGGCACACCTAACAAACTCAAGGGTCAGTCTATCTCTTGGTGTCTAACCCCTTCCAGTCACTAAATCTGGCTGTGTCCTCTGCCTGGCCGTTCTGAAGCTGTTCTCATTCCCAGTCTCTACTCTTTTCACCTCAACCCTTCACCCAAGCATTTTAGGTAAGAGTAGGTATGGAGAGAGGGCTGCCAGATGAATCCTGGGCATTACTTGGTCATCCCAGGTCTGCACGGGGCCATGATCTTCAAAAAACCATCCATCCCCCAGCCCCCTCCCCGATCTCAATTGCCCAGACTCCACATCTCTTTGGTGCCTGTGCTTTCTGCGCAACCCTGGGCGAGTCACTGAATCCCTCTGGGCCTAAGGTCCTCCTCGGTAACCCAGGGTCACCCTGGGGTCCCCTCCCCACCCTCGACATTCGGGAAACAACAACTGCCCCACTCTGACCCGAAGATGAGGGCCAAGAGCTGCCATCACTTCCCCTACCCTTCCACAGAACAGCGTGTCCAGAAGGTTCGCGCTTCCCTCCAGAGTCTCCGGCTGGAACTGTCCTGGGCCCCTCCCAGGCCGCGCGCCGGCCTCAACGCGCCAATCCGTGGTCAGGCAGAGGCGTCCTGCGGGCGGGACAGTGGCGCCTTCACCCTCCCAGCCCCACCCCAGTGCGCAGGCGTTTGACCCGGAGAGGAAAAGCAAGCGCAGGGCTGGCCGCCAGATCCCAGAGCCCCTAAAGAGCTTCCGGAGTTCGGGTCATGTTCCCTCTGACCTAGACGTAACACACTTACATCTCCCAGCGGAGGATGTCCCGCGCGCGGTACCCACACAAACCGCGACTCCCAGCGTCCTGCCCGGGAAAACTACGCATCCCGAAATGCACTGCTCCGCGCGCCGGCGCAGTGGACCCGGTAGTCGCCTTGGAACGCGGCTCCATGCGCAGGCGCAGCGGGTAAAGGCTGTGGCCGTGGGGCGTGCCGCTATGTGCGCAAGCGCAGTGTGTCTCACGAGAGCCGCTCTGGGGCTGTGACGAGGGCGATAGGCCCCGCCATCCCGGAGCCGCCGAACTGTGGGGGCTGGCACCTTCGTCCAGGCCTGGGGGCATTTTCTCCCTTTGAACTCCCCTGAGCTGGAGGACGGCAGATGGAGGGCGGATCTTCAAGGGGCCCCTCGCCCTCAGTTGTCCTCACATTCCCTGGATGCCTCCTCCAAGGACACGTGGGTGCTCATAAAGTTTCCAGATTTAGCGTTCGTCCTTTCTGACTAGGGTGCATCCATTTTTCTTTTGGGGTAACGGTATGGTGCCCCAATACTAGGTTTCCAGATTCGTTCATTCAACAAATGCTTTGTAAACCCGTGCAGAGTTTGAGCCCACTCAGTCCTTGCCCCTTGGGAGGGCACAAACCAGTTACCCAAATGCAAGGATAGTAAGAAGGATGTCTCTAGAGTGCTCAGCGCGTACTCTGCCCACCCGTGTATAGATGAGGAAACTGAGATTAGGGGAGATGAAGTGGTGGGCGCTAGAAAACGTGTGAATTGCAGCGGCAGAATGGAGATGTGAACCCAGGCGATCTAATTCCAAAGCCCATTAGGACTCTGTGGTAATGAGGTACAAAATGTTAGAGAGTGCAGGGGGAAGAACAAACTTAGGGATAAGGGGGTTGGTTCTGTTAACAAGGGAAGTTTACCTGGAGAAAGTAACAAAAATGGCTTTGTTATAAGCACTTAGAGGCTATTGTCTAATTTAAGTCTCATAACAAGCCTACAAGGGACATGCCGTAATTATAACCATTTCACAAATGAGGAAAATGGAGACACAAGGATACTAATTTTTCCAGGTCTTTAAAGCCAGCAAGTGCCAGAGCTGAGACTTGACCGTAGGTAATCTGGATCTAGGGTCTATCAGATCATTCACCATGTCCTCCTTTTTAAATAGCTTCTGAGCTGTGCTTTAGAAATAAACGGTACTTAAGTCATGTGGAGCCAGTAGACCAAGCAGAGGAACTCTAAAAGCAAATGAGGAAGAAAAGAAAAGCAGCAAGTTGTTTGAATTGGTGTTTTCAGTTGCCAGGTAAAAAGTGGAAAGCCTGGATTTGGTGGGAATTGACCCTGGAGTGGCAAATTTTGGCAAATGATCTTCCACCACTATACACCCAACGTGCTTGTAAAGAGTCAGCATTTGCCCCCTTTCCCAAAAGTGAAGTTGACTGACAGAACCCTGCATGTCACTTATACTTGCAGTGATAATCATAAAATCATCGCTGAAAACCAGGAACTAAGTAGGAAAACCGAGATTTTTTTTCCCCTCAGGTTGTCTTCGGTTGTCAAAGGTAAACAAAACCAGATACTAGTTAAAGCAGGCAGGATAGACTCAGTAGCTGTTGCAAATCAGAAGAGGGTCCTGCAGGAAGAGCTCAACTTTCATTTGTGCAGACTTGCCTAGACATGGGAGCAGGACTTGAGAGAGTCAGGGAAGTAGAAATGCATAAAAAGCGGAGAGGTTGGGTCAGTGTGATAGTGTGATCTGGGTTTGCTAGTTGTTACTTATATGGAAAAGAAACAAACTTCTATTTAGGCCAGAGGGTAGAGCAAAGCACTCACCCCACAGGGGAGTTTGAACATTTGCATTTCAAAGAGACAAGACATTTTCTGGATACTAGGAGATTTACATCTCAAAGGGGAAAAGCAAATATTGTTAATTGCAAGCTCTCAAAAGTAACTTCCACTGGGGGTGGTGGCTCATGCCTATCATCCTAGCACTTTGGGAGGCTGAAATGAGAGGATTGCTTGAGCCCAGGAGTTCGAGACCAGCCTAGGCAACATAGTGAGACCTAAAAATAAAAAAATTAACCAGGCATGGTGGCACACTCTTGTAGTTCCAGCTATTTGGGAGGCTGAAGTGGAAAGATCTCCTGAGTCCAGGAAGTAGAGGCTGAAGTATGCTGGGCAACAGTGAGACTCTGGCAAATGAATAAGTAAATACAGGTGACAATGACAGAGTGACACCTCAACTCATAAATAAATTAAAAATATAACTGCTCTAAGAGGGGACTCAGGGGCCTATTTGTCACCAGGTTTTGGCTAGAACAAATGGTAAATTATTTTCATGCAGTATTCATTTCTCTCAGGCAGGCACTTTGGCAGGAAGCTGGGATAACCCTAAGGATATGACCTTCACTGTTAGAAACTATACTAATGTTTGTTCAAGTCTCTCAGTGTGCAGAGGTGAATGAAATCATTTTGGCCAAGAGTCTGAAGTTTTCATAGGCCAGGGTTGGGGTCTAGTCAAGAAGAGGACTCAGAGGAGCTTGACTTGTTTGGTTAAGGAGAGAGTCTTTATCACCTGGTGGAAACCTCAGCTCCTGGTCTGGATACATAGTAGGGGCCTGGGATTTATAGACTGCTGCTCTGGGCTCTTTAGGCTTGACGTTTCCATGGGTGGATGGCAATTCTGGGTTTCTGATCTAAGGAAGGAGACCACTCTTCCCACATCTGCTCTTGGAATAGGAATGACTTTCTCTAACACTGTATTGAATGGTGTTATTAGCATACTTGCAAGTCTGTTATTGGAAAATAGACACCTTGTATATAGCTCACTGTAATTTTAAGGAGACAAATCTTGTAGTTGGTACACAGGGTTGTACAGGCATGCTTTGAAGAAGAGTTTCTTTTCTAAAGTTTGTCTTAGTGCCCAGAGGCTTGAGGCCCTGCCCTCCACTACGGTGGCCTGACTGGGAGGAGGGAGAACACAGTAAACTAGAAGCTACGTGATGCTGAGGTCCTGCACATCTCTCTGCTGTCACTGACCTGATAATTTCATCTGCTCTGAGAGAGGAGGCATGTCCTCCTGTCCCTGTGCTGGCTCTGTCCATTTTGTAATGGTGTCTGGCAGGACCCTGTCCCATTCTGTCATCACGATGTTCACTATTTGACTCCCTCTATTGTGTGAGTTCCTCCAGCTCAGGTAGTCTCGTTCATCTCTGTACTCCTGGGTCTAGGCCAGTGATCCAAGTCGATCAATGTTGCCCAGTTGAATTAGTGAATGAAATTACCTAATCTCAGTGAACTGCGATTTCCTCATCTATAAATGAAATGGCCTGCCAACAGTAAGATGATAGCCCTGACATCGTGCACCCCACGGTGCAAAATATTAAGCAGTTACTGTCTAGCTTTTCAACAGACATCAGCAATATAGATATTTTCTGTACCTTTAGTCTTTCAAACATAAGTGAAAATAATTATACATAGAAGAAAATAAAATTAATGAGGAGAATAAGTTGTTTATCAAGCAATTTGTTATAATTTATTATTTTTTTCTTAATAATGAGAACTTTTAAAGGTTAGTTTTCTGCAAGACTTTGAATGTTAGTTTAAAAATATGTTTCTGTGGCACGGGTAGTTCTTAAATATTGGACTTCTCTGGTATGCAGTATTTGCCCTTTGAAATGTTTGTTCCATCTTCAGACATTCAAATAAGTTAAATTCCAGGAAAATAATAAATGTAAAATAACCCTGTGGTTCTGTTCATTCATCATTTCAGATTCTGCACCATGAACCAATAAATAAATGCTCCTATGTCAATCCAGGGAGTAAGTGATAGATTTTGTAACTCAGCTTCTGGATTTATAAATTGAATTTGTCATATACAAATGATGTTTCATGAGAAAGAAGATTCAATGATTTGTAAATCTTTCCCTTATATCCCCACTGCCACTGCCTGGGCACTTTACTTCAATTTTGGCTTTATTTTCACTATGGACATTGATTAAAATGACATTGACATTGCCCAGAAAGTAGAAGCAGTCTTTAGCATAAAATATTGCTCTGATAAGCAAGCATAAGTCACTGAGATTGAAATGTCATCTGTCTTAGTTGGTCAGCCACATAATCTCCATGAAAATTCTCAGTAGAGAACGAGGAACTCATTTTAAGCAATGACACTTTAGATTTGCTTCAAGTCATTGGCATCTCTTTATGTCTGGATGTCAGGTGTTGGCTTGGTGACTTTCTCCCTTTCAGGGAGACATTTTGAACCCTGCTGCCCCAATATTCTCATGGATGGTGGCCTTTGATTCTTCTAGATTCAAAATTTGACTCTTGTACTTCTCCTGCCAGTCCTCCACAATGTATTGGTGGTAGGGGTCATTGGAATGCTCCTGTCTCTTGGATTTCACTGTGCTCACCAGGATGGCTACAATGATGAAGGAGAACATTCCAATCATCACCATGAGGTACAAGATGACATAGTAGAAGTTCTCTGCATCCACTTTGGCTTGGAGTGCCTCTTGTTCAGCTGTTGTGTTCCTGCGCCAGTGGTCCATATATGTAATAAAAACTTTTTTGAAGACATCTTCCAGTGTCTGTGTGAAATTAGATAAAGTAGGCATGTTTCTCTCTCCTGCTGCAATTTAGATAATAAAATAGATGAACAAGGTTAAGAAAACAGATCCTTTCTGCATTTGGCTACCTTAAGTGAAGGAGGGAGAGAGGGAGGGAGGGAAGAAGGGACATGCCAGGGAAGTAATATTATTTCTTCTTAACCTGGCTAATGATTGACTGGGTGCACATTTTGTTAATATTTAAAGTGATCAAATACATTTTATTCATTTTCTGTATACATGATTATGGTATAATAAAAATTTAATGAAGGTCATAAAACTATATATACATTTTGAAATCTATGTATATATGTAAATAAATGTATACCTACAAAAATGGAGAAAAGGCTGGAAGTAAATAGATCAAAATGTTAATGGTGGGATGCATTTAAAGATAAATCTTTTTTCTTTTATGCTTCTCTCATGTTCTAAATCTCCATGAGTAACCTTGCATTGCTTCTGCTTTTAAAAAATCAGTAGCCTCCCAACAGCTAGAAAAATGCTGCATTCATAACAAGCACTCAACAAACACCAGTGGAATGATGCTCTGTTTTTAGAGCATCATGAGGCTTTATGTTAGATATGACATGGAGGCAAAAGGTCGCAAAGGGCATTGACAGATTTTCCTATTTGTTCCATCTCCTACACCCAGGCAGCGCATTGTCCCAAGTATCCTAAAGGGATAAGTATATGCATCCATATTTGAGAGAAGTATTTTAGGTAAGTGATACAAAGAAACAATCTGAGTGACCACTCACATTTTTCAAATCCTTCTCTCCTTCTTCATCCTTACTATCCCTCCCCAGCCAACATCTCTCACTTGGATGATACAATACAAACAATACAGTACCATACAATCCTCCCCCAAACCTTCTAACCGGGGTTATATGTGCCCCTTCTGCCCTGCACAGCGCTGTGCCCTTATTAAAGAGAGAAATGGATCATGCCATCCTTGCTTTTAAAACAATGCAATAGCTTCTCGTTGTTCTTAGGATTATAATTCCTTAACAGGATTTCCCCAGCCTGGCTTGAGCAGGCTTCTGACACCTTCCCTATTACCCCCAGCTCACCATAATTTGGTCACACCTTACTCTTTCCTCCCAGACAGTAAACTCTCTTGCCTTAGGGCATTGGCACCTTCTAGTCCCTCAGCCTAGAACAAGTTGCCTTCCTCTTCCACCTGCTACCTCCTCATTCTTTAGGTTCTAGCCTCCCTGTCATTTCTTCTGAGAAGACTTTCCTAACTCTACTTGAAATCAGTTCCCACCAGCACCACCACTACTTTCTCCAATAGCATCTTATTATTTTTCTTCAAAAGCACCCTTCACTTATGTCGTATTTAGATGTATATAGCATGTGTGTGTGATTATTGGTTAAGAGTCTTAGCTTTTCCACTTGACTGCCATGTGTATCGACTTTGACTAGCTTGATATAGCACATGTCTGGCAGAGAGTCTGACATATAAAAGGCACTTGGTGGATGTTTGATGAATGAATTAAAGTGCCAGGCACTATGCTAAGCTTTGAAAATGGGAACTCTGTCTGTGAGAGTCTCAGTTTTATAGGAGAGAGCAAATAAATGACAATGCAATGTGCAAAGTGTTGTAACAGGTAAGAACAAAGAGATAAGGGAACTCAGAAAATGAAGTTGAACATGATTCATAGATGGGGCAAGTGAATGTAAACAAAATGGGAAGGAACATGGGCAGTAGGTAAACCTGTGACTAGCAGGAACCTGCAGGCCCAATCAGTAAAACCCAAACAACCTTGCCATGGGCTTGCCTGCTACTGTGTTCTTAAAGGAATGCTCCCTCTCTTTAGCATGTGATTTTCTTTTCTTCTTGGAAAAGAAGTTTCACATCTCCCCATCTGGGGAAAAGGCACAAATAAACTTCCATGCATTTCTCCCGCAGAATATGCCTTCCCGACATTTGCCTCATTGAGAATTACTCTAAGATAATACCGTATATCCCTCTCAGTCTGATGTTTGAAGTTCTGTTATTCAGAGAGCCCTGAGATCTGTCTCTCCCTCTCCTCACCACACAGAGCCTAGTGGGTTGGAAGGAAGTTTTATAAGTTGATAAGTTTGCCCCGAGGTATACACCAAGCACATTTTCTAAGCAATGTAACAGATATGTGCCCCCCCACAATTTAAAATACTGCAGTTCACTGTGAAAGAGTGTAACTTAAGCTGACTTTGATTCACTCTAAACTTTACCACTGGCTGTTTTACTCTTGAAGAGAGAAGTTCTACTCATTTGGGGTGAGTGCACACTAATTTTATCTATCAAGAGACAACCCTCCCACCCCCACTCTGTGCTATGTCAAGGTCAATCTTGAAAACTCAATGAGGCAGGATTACTTCACCTGTGAATCTTTTCATCATCTGTTTCTTCTAACCCTTCTCCCCAGCTTCATTCAATATAAAAAACTGTGATTTTTGCCAGCTTATATATTTCCCCCGTGGTGCCCTCTAGAGAAAATTCAGGGTTTTTTGTTTGTTTGCTGTTGTTGTGAGCCAAACTGGAAAAATAAGTAGAGCAGAGGCAACTAAGAAAGAGCCAGAAGAGCTGAGTTTACCAAACAGAGGGCTGAGGGTCCAGAACAATACTAGGAATGGTGTTGTGGGTAGTTCTGTGTGTAAGAGTGTCCTGAGGAACTGAAGGGGAAGAAAACTGAGCCAGGGATGAAGGGGGCCTCGTTTGGATAGAGTCACACACCCTGTAGTGTTCTTTCTGAGGTACTGTCAAGATTGGAATGATTCAAGGCTTTTTTTGGTTGCTGGACAGTGCCTCCATGAAGGAAACTCCACGTGAGCATGGAGTAGGCTCACCTCGTACCTGGGTCCCCCAAAGAGATAGTAGCTTCTCAAGCTCCAGAGTGATTTGCACGCCTCTGCCCGCCCTGCCTCCCATGTAGCTCCTTGGTAGACTGTGTCACTGTGCTTGGAATTCCCTCAGTTATTCCTTTAAGTGGAAGAAGTAAAAAGATCCTAATATTCTATGGCAAGGGTGACAGACCAAGCTATATTCCCTGTCAACATCTTTGGGAGTGTTTTCATCAAAGCAATTCATGAGCTTCTCAATACATGTGAAAAATCCAGGCAAGCACTTGCCTCCTTGAGGGAGTGAGGCATAGGAGAGCAGGGTATGGGAGAGGACCCAGTATTCCAAGAACTGCCCTTAGATTCTGGAGCTGGAATGATCACTTGAAGTATTGGGGAAGAAATGGAGCTGGAAGGGAAGAGGAGAGAACAGTGAAGCAACCTTGGCCTTCTGTGTGAGTTTTCTAGTGTTGTCTATTTGTGTGATTGTCAAAGCCACTCTATAAATTTTTTCTTCCCTGATGCTTAGAGAGATGAATTAATTTGAATCATGATGACTTGAGAGTTTGAACTGCTGGGAGGCAGGGACAGTTTTACCCATCTTTGAATCCCAGGTCCCTACACAACAATGGGTGCAGAGCAGATATTTACTAAAAGTTTGGTGAATGAATGAATGAGTGAACAACTGTTCCTCTCTGTAGAATTCAATGGGAAACTACCATGACAATGATTCTTATTTGTGGAGAGTGGGGTGGGGTGATGTCACAGATACCTTAAAAAATCAAACTATGTGATTTTATTTTTCCCCCAGAAAGTATACATATGCACATACAGGTTCTACATTCTATTTCAGGGGACTCCTGAGCCCTTAAGGCCCATCCAAGAATCTCTGCAACAAGATATCTTTTGAGATGAGGGACCTCAATGCTGAATTCCACTGGAGTCATTTGGGTTTGTTTCCAGGTATAGGCATGGCAGTGAGCACCAGTCCTCTAGAGTGAAGTGGCCAGTACTGCCCATTATGGGTTCAGCTCTTCTAACATGGACAAAGGCCCACTGCTAAGCAGATCAGGCAGTGCTTTTTGATAAGACATAATCAGAGAGATGAAAAGCACCTATGAGGATTAAATACCTATGTGCTGACCCCTGGCCAGGCTGAATACTAATGCATGTGATGTGGCTGAGTAGTCCATGTCTCTTTGTAACCACAGGCAGAAATACAAATCACAGTGTGTGAAAGCAATTCACTGAAGGACATTATGCCAAAACATACTCAAATTATAAGTGGGTCAATTTAAATTTTTGATTCCCAGAATAATTATTTAACTGATAGACATCAACCATACTTGGCATATATACTTATCTTAGGTGTTTACTTTAGTAATGCTAAGACAATTATTAGCTATGTTCTTTTGAATACTATGAAGTTGCCAATTATATAGGTTAAAATGATAAAATATTGTCAATTTCTTGTGTTTCAAGCTAACACAGTCTACATTTCCAGTAATGGTTCTTGCTGAGTCATAGAACAGAGTGGGCCACTAGAGAGTATTTAGGCTGGCCTGCTCCTTGGTAAGTGGGATAATTATACCCTAGAGAGCTTAAATCACCTGTCCAAGATCAAGGGCTCTCAAGTTGGCCACAGTGCATGAACTAGAACCCAAGTCACCCAGACCAGTGCCTAACATTCACTGTCCTAGCAGAGGTCACACATTCCAATAACGTTGTTTCCATTGCCTGTGGCTGGTCAGCTCAATTGGGTGAAAGACCAAGACCATGGTTTGAGCCTACACACATCGTTAGTTGTCCCCTGTCTCCAAGCTACAGAATGATCCCCTAATTCCAGCTGTCTCTGTCACAAGTGTGTGTTAATACACAATAAGGCCAAACTGGACCCTATAAGGAAAGTAACATTCATTTGACCCCCAAGTTCTCTTTTCTTGAAAGATGGTGAATCATTAGCATCACCTGGGCCAACAAAGGGCAGCAAAGTCTTACTTTTTTAATATCAAGAAGAGATAAAGATATAATTACTTATATTTATCATGATTCCCCCACTAAAAAATCTTTCACTGAGAACCAATGGGAGACCTAAACTTCACCTGTACGATTAACACTTATGTACCTAACCCTGAATTGTACCCCACATCTTTAATATATAAAAAAAGAATCTTTCAAAATTTTCATCCAAAGGCAATTACCAAAGAAGTGCATAAGGAAAACACAAGAAAGGAAAGAAGGAAGGAAGGGTGGGAGAGGGAGCCAGGTCAACTACCAGAAAAATAATTCCTTTTCTAGTTTTCTGGAAAAGGAAAATAGGTAACTTTGTTACTTAATTCCTCAAAAATATAAGAAAGTATAATAAAACCTACCTATGTGGTGTGTGGGCAGTATGGAATTCCTCTACAAAGTCAGCCTTCTCTGAACCTTCTTGCTGGTGTTAGTGAACTCTCTTAAATATCGTACATAAATCTCAGCCTGCTAGCCACCATCAGCTTTCCACCAGCTAAGCCCTGGTTAACTGCAGCCCACAATCCTAGGCTTTTATGAACCCAAATGTTTAATCTAATCTTATGTGGAAAGTTAAATACTGACTGGCAGTTGGGAATTAACCTTGGTGCCTGATGGAGTGTGCCGTGTGGAGTCTGACTTTGGGTAGAGTGGTACGAGTTCCCCCTTTGGGCTCTGTGATACCAGCTCCAGCGAGGGGAGGGCCTGGGCACAGTGAGCATCTCTCCCCAGGAAAGTCTTCTCTGTAGGGCTGCCTCAGTGGACAGCACCATTCCTGCTAGAATACATGGGGAAGGACTGGGCCCCGGGGAGAGGAGGTGTCTCTGGGTGGTTGGTGTGGGTTGAAGAGAAGGTCAGTACAATTCCAGGTATGTGCCTCTGTTCTGAAGACCTCCTCATGATCTAAATTTTGTGTAAATACCCCTCTCTGGGACAATTTCCAAATGACTTTATAACAACTTTGTTGTCTTGTAAAACAGTAACTGGCCACAGAGGTACTATATGGAGGAGATGGAAGCAAGTCCAACAAAGTATTTAAGCACCCAGTGTTCTGGCCTAACAAACCAACTGTGCACTCCCTCGGGGTCAGTCAGAGACAAGAGGCCAAGGGCTAGGAGAAATGGGCATTTAATCTAATACCATGGAATCAAGGAGCGAGTCAGTGTAGTCACCCAAAAACCTCGCACCCTGACGGTTCAATTTACTCAGAATTTATAGACTCCATAGTTTCTCACTCACTTGTGGCTAAATTAACAAGGGCATGACTCAGGACTTCTAATCCCTTCACCCATCCCTGAAGTTGAATTGACAAGGCCTACGAGTAGTTTCAGCATGACTCAAGATCTCCTAATCATGTTAATGTTTTAGAGTAGCTTGTGGGGTTTATAACTACAGGGACTTTACATTTTATAGTTCCTTAAAGTAGGGGGTGGAAGTTACAACTGTCAAAGGAACCACTTTGATAATTTTAGATAAATAATTTTGAATTAAACATGAGGTATGTAAGAACCTCCAATCCTAGAGCCTTGGCCTGTAACATTAGCAAGACCTACACAAGTTCTGTCTACCAAAACATCCTTTTCTACCATGAAAATCCTTGGAATTGGGAGTAGTGGGGCTTCATAGTTGCTATCACTTAGGAGTACCTACCGTGTGCTTTTATTATTTTAGCCTCAGGTAATCACTGCCACAACCCAGTGTAGAAGGTACCATGAAGTTGACAGGCCGGGTACAGTGGCTCACACCTATAATCCCAGCACTCTGAGGGGCAGAGGTGAGAGGCTTGCCTGAGCCCACAGGTTTGAAACCAACCTGGGCAACTTGGTGAGTCCTCATCTCTACAATAAATCAAGAAAAATTAGCTGGGTGTGATGGCGCATACCTGTAGTTCCACCTACTTGGAAGGTTAAAGTGGAAGGATCACCTGAACCCAGCAGTTTGAGGCTACAGTAAGCCACCACTGGTGGCCGTAAGCATGCCACTGCACTCCAACCTGGGTGACAGAGTGAGACTCTGACTAAAAAAAAAAAGAAGAAAGAAAGAAAAAAAAATTGACCGCTGAGGAAATTCAGGCACAGAGAGGTCAATAGGTCAGGATGGCATAGAGGTGGAGCCAGGATTTAAATTCAATCTGAGTGGCGGCCCAGAGGTTACCCTCAGTCAAAATCACTTCACGGTCAATACGGCCGGTCAATACTCTAATCCTATTGTAGTTGTGTGAAAGGAAGGCTAGCTTTGTTTTAAAACTGGAGATTCTCGACTGCATGTTCTCACTCATAATCGGGCCCTGACCACTGGTCACAGGAGCACAGGGCGGGGATCAGCAGATGCTGGATGCTGCTAGGAGAGGCAGGGAGAGAAGAGAGAGGGGGCATGTGGCAACACACTGGGTACCAGGTCCACTGTCAGGGGAAGAGAGGGTTAGCTAGAAGCCCAAACTTCACCCGCATGCAACTTACTTATGTAGTAAATCCTTGCTTGTACCCAACTCTAAAATAGAATAATAATGACAATTTAAATAAATAAAATAGGAGTTTCTCACTAAATGGTTCTCTGAACTTTGTGGCTTGAAGCACATTGGGCGGCAGGAGGCAGATGGCTAAGATTTTAAATGACCTACAACACATTATGGCAAAGTGTGCATATTCAGTGAAATACAAGGATCTCTGTAACCCTGCACCAACCTCTGTTCGCATCATTTGTCCTCATGGATTGCCTTCACTGATCAAGGTAAGGCAAACCCAGTCAGAAAGGGGTGGTGTGATACAGTCCGACTCAGCTGACAGGGTCTCCATAGAAATGGAAGCAAAACATTCGAGTGAGAATTCCGCTGGGAGATTGTGCCACCTGCCGATGGAAACGGGAACGGAAGTCAATTTCCTCACTCCTAAAGCAGCCCTCGCTGTTTAACTTCCCCCTTGAGTTCGCCTAGTGCCCAGGGGAAGAGAATCAAAATAGCGTGCTAGTGCACTCTTGGGTGATTAAAGGCAGAACTGGAAGGTGATATATCATGGAGGCTGACAGACTAGTTGAGCAGATGACTTAGCATCCTCGATTTGGGGATTCTTCATCTGTAAGATAGAGGCACTAAGAGTTCCTACCTCATCGGAGTTGTTATGAAAGTTAAATGGGATAATGGATATAGAGCACTTAGTACAGAACTGACACAAGATGAGATAGTAAGTGCCCTGTACATATTAGCTATTGCTATTATTTGTAAGAGAAATAGGTAAGAAGGCATGCCAGTGAAAAAGAGAGTATGAGCAGACCTCACCAAGGGAAAGTATAGAATGTTCTAGCACCAGGTGACGAGTAACTCCTTAACGGTTTGTTTTTAGGTTGCTCTTATCCATGCCCTGCTACACAATTCACAAATTTGAGATTAAGAATTTGGAATGAGATGGAGACCTGAAGAAATGGATGCAGAAGCCCAAGTACCAATTAGTGGCTGGAGAAGAAAATAGAAGAGAAAGAGTTGGCAAATGTTTCTCTCTAACAGGCCTCAGCCTCCTTGATCTCTGCAGCAGGCTCTCAATAGATTCGCTCAATGTCATCCCCAACAAGAAAGTAAGATGGTGTCTGCCCAGAAAACAAGTTGTGTAAAAGCAAATATTTTCTTTGAAAATCAACTGGCAGCACACACCCTTACAGAACTTTTTATATGTCATATATTTTTAAAACACCAAAGAGTTGAGTTTGCTTTTGGATTTAAATTTGGATGTTATTAAATCCCACATCCAGCACCAACAAAAAACAACATTCTTTCAAAAGAGAAGAGCTGTAAGAGACTTTGTCATGGAGTCTGCCTTTCAAGCTACTGTTACTGCTTTGAGGGTCGCAATGTGTATAGAAACCGACAGGCTACCATGACTTTTTTTTTTTTTTTTTTTTTTGAGTTGGTGTCTCACTCTGTTGCCCAGGCTAGAGCACAATGGTATGATCATGCCACCGCAGGCTCGACCTGAGTACCTGGGACTACGGGTGCATACCACCACACCCAGCTAATTTTTTTATTTATTGTAGAGACAAGATCTTGCCAAGTTGCCCAGGCTGGTTTTGAACCCCTGAGTTCAGGCAATCCTCTTGCCTCCGCCTCCCAAAGTGCTGGGATTGCAGCACTTGAACCAACCATGACTTCTTAAATAAAACATGACTGCTAATAACAAATGAATGGGAAATACAGAAAGTTGGATAACTTTATTGGAGAGCTTCAAATCAGTTGGTGCCTCTCTGCCTCAAATCAATCCTCTGAGGAGATACATTGAATACCCTATCTATTGACTTCCTCTTAGGGTAGGTGTGGATGTTAGCCTCTACAACCACACTTGCTTCCACCTCCGCATCCTCCCAGTATAATTATATCACAAGTTAGGGTTAAATCCAACTTTGGAGTTTGCATTGTTATGACGGCATAAACATTGTTTTCTGGCGAGCCAAGTAGTAAACTGTAATTACATCTCTCCTATACAACTTTTTGTTTTTTCTTAGAGTTAATAATTCTTTTTTCCTCTCATTTTTACTTAGCTGTTTTTGAACCTCTTTCTGTAGCCCTCATGTTCTTAGTACAATTTCTACATGGTCAGCCTCATCAGATAATCTATCCATTTCATCCCCCGCCCCGCCCCCCACCCCAAGAAACATCTCTAGAGGCACCATCCTCCTTCACCATCCTTGGCTGTTTGCTCCCAAGGCCTGCCATAGAGCTACCATTTTGGAATTCTTTTTATCCCTCTCCCTGGCTGGGATGCTTCCCTTCCACTTTCTTGAGGAACAGGGCACCTGATGTTTTCACCATGCTGAAAACAGATGTAGGCTTTTAAAAAATGAAGTTCCTCAAAATTGACTGAAAGTGAAAAGTCAAAATGGAGTTTAGAAGAAGTTGTTTCACAAAGCAGTTCCCTGAAGTTTGGCGTAATCCAAAGACTGACAATATTCCAGAGCAGAATTTCCTATCATGTTCAATGGAAGGCTACTAAATGATACCAGAAACGGGTTCTGAGGTCCAGTGAACTGCCACTTCTGCTACGTGAGGACTTTGGATTAACCAAGTTAGAGGTTTCTTTGTGGTAGGCATTCTTAGAGTCTTTAATATGATCTGAGCATTGCAAATCTCCAACAGGGGGGTAAATATGTATGCAGCATTTTCAAAATATATTTGATGGTAGGACCTTTCTTTTCTTTTCTTTTCTTTTTTTTTTTTTGAGTTGGAGTCTCACTCTATCATCCAGGCTGGAGTACAGTGGCATGCTCATGGCCACCATAGCCTCGATCTGCTGGGCTCAAGTGATCCTTCCGCCTCAGCCTTCCAAGTAGATGGAAGTACAGGCATGCGCCACCACGCCTGGCTAATTTTTTGATTTACTGTAGAGATGAGGTCTCACCAAGTTGCCCAGACTTATCTCAAATCCCTGGGCTCAGGCAATCCTCGCACCTCAGTCTTCCAAAGTACTGGGATTATAGGTGTGAGCCACCGTACCCGGCCACTACCCT